TTAAATCTAGAGTTTGATTCACCGTCCAATGTTCAAATTAAGGACGTGAGTGCTACACCTGCCCTAGGGCAGGTAGTCTCCATATAACACAAAGGACAGAAAGAGGCTTCCCTTCCCTTGTTTGTTTTTGCTGTCTTCTGCTGCCATGGACTGTTTCTCTCCCGTGATGCCCTTCTGCCTATCCACCTTTCCTTTGACCCAGCCAGTTGTAGACTAAAACTCCTACAAACTGTGAGCTAAATGAACTATTCCCCCTTTAACTTTGGGTCTTAGGTATTTTGTCTCAGCAATGAGAAAACTAACTAACACACTCTCCTTGTCCTGTAAATATGAAGGTCTGGTTTGGTAAATCATCCTGGGATCTGCCCCTGTGTCATAAGATGTCCAGAGGCAAAGTGCTAATAAATCTGATCATGAGATGCTACCCTGAAGGCATGATGCACACACTGGGAGAGCCGCATATGTGGGCTGTTTGTGTATAACTGGACTGAGCCCAACAGTGTTTACACCGGACGGTGGCACTCTGTATGGAACTGTCCATAAATTTTCTGCCCACATAGTTATTTATGGCAGCCAGGTTAAATACTGTCTAACCCTCCTCTCCCCCCGAATCTTGTTCTTGAATTTGCAACTCCCACATGAATTGCTTGATCTTATCTTGAGGTCTGAGATGGTGGGCAAGGAGGCAGAATGAGTTCTGGGTTGTCAAGGCATGGAGGGATGGGCTCCTTCACAATGATCCTGGTCCCCCCACACTGACCACAGCAGTCACTAATGGGGCCTCTTGCCATTGGCATCTACCCTGACCCCAAGTCCTTTCTCCCCTTCTTAAAGGTCCTCTGTGGTTCCTAACTCATCGTGTATGTCCTCAAGTGTAACTACTAGACTGAGAAAAGGAATGACAGGACTCCTGTGTCCCACAAGACTATTTAGCTATAATTTGTCTGTATAACCATCTCCTCCTCTGAAACAGAGATGGTATCTGACTGTGCCCAGGGTCCTTCTTTGCCCTAGACAGCACCTGTCATACAGGAGGCTGATGTCAGGAAGTTTGGCTTATCTACAGCATTGTGGCCTCCAGAAATTGTTTCATATCTCCAGGGTTCCATTTCCACACCTACCCAAACAGCCTCTCATTGCATCATATAGTGAAAACCAGAACCCCCAGAGCATGCCCACCGAGGACAATGCAGGGTGTCACAGTCTTGGCACTGTGGACTTATAGATTCTTTGCCAAGATTTGCCATCCTGTGCATGATGAGCTGCATACGAAATCATAGGAATTAACCTAACCAAGAAGTAAAAGGCCTCTACAATTAAAATTACAGCACTCTGAAAAAGGAAACCAAAGAGGACACCAGAAAGCGAAGAGAGATCCCGTTTCCAGATAGGCAGCACCAATAATCAAAATGCAGAGTAGAAATGCGCTGAGCTGAGGCCTTGGTGGGAGGCTTAAGAGGGTGCAGTCAGGGGTCCAAAGTAACTCTGTGCTGCCTCGAGGGTTCCACGCGTCACTAAATTGACCACTTAAGGGAGGTGGCCCTGTCAAAAAGGAGGACCTTGGGAGAATCAGCAGCTGAGGCACTGACGGTGTGGCTTAGGACTCTAGAACCTGAGTCTCCCAGGCTCCAAGGCAGTTATCTTTCAGAGTAGCACAGATGCTCAGAACAAACACTCCAGTCCGAAGAGACACATGCCCTCCAGAGCAGAGAGGCTGCTTGGATCCTAAATCCACCATGTGTTAGCTGTCACCTGGGCTGTTTTCCCACAGAAGCAAACTTGGATGTGGAAAACGTGGGGTCTCATCCGTCTCATCCTTGCAGTGCAAGGAGGAAACCAAGGGCCAGTCTGGGATGAGGGGAGAACAGCATTGAAGGGAACTCCTCCAGCCCCTGTAACTGGGGTCTCTGGGGGCTCCAGGAGAGGTGGTCAGTGAGAGCATCAGTGTCACTTCTCTGAGCCAGGGTATTGAGTTCAAGAGTCTCAGAGCCATGGAATGAAATCCTTTTGTTACTTGCTGTATGTATGACCTGGATGAGTCACATTGCCCCCATGAGTTCCAGTTCTTCCTCCTGAAATAGAGGTGGTGTCAGTGGAGGGGACACGTGTGCATCCCTGAGGCAGCTCTCCCTGAAGGTGTGATGGCATCAGCAGGGTGATGCTGCCTGTGGGCAGGTTCAGGGCTGTGGATGGAGAGACCTTGGGTTGGGAAAGGAGCTTGTCTTCATGGGACAGCAGACAGCAGGGTCTGTGACCTCACCAGGTGGGTTCCAGGTGCTATGGTTAAGGAAGGGAAGAACAGGGAAGCTCTAGACATGAAGACTGTGGGGTGTCTCAGCACCTTGGAGGACAGAGCCTAGATTCTAAGACCCTGGCCCTTCCCAGGCAGGGAGAGGCAGACAGGGATAGAACACAGGCATCAGATCCTGAGTCACTCTGCCCTGTGCTCCTGAGTCCTGTCAGACCAAGCAGTCCCCAGTTCTCCATGAATCCTCCGGGTGTTTGGGGAGGAATGGCGGGAAGCACGGGCTGGGTTTGCCCCCAGGATGCAACTGTTGCCCAGACAGGGCAGCTTCACACTGAACTCCTAATAGATGTGGGACTGGGTGATCCTGGGTTCTTTTCACTGATAGAAAAGAACTATGTGTCCAGGTTCTGGCCCTCTCCATTTCTCAGTGTCCAATTTGGGGACATTATCAAGGAGGCATACCTGAGTATTCTTACATCTATTGCAACTCCAAGTTCAGTCTCTGCCAACACACTGGCCACCCTGACCCCTGCCAACCCACCCCAATAGCTGGAGAGCAGTGAGCCACATGAAGAATGCAGAAATGGGATTTTATTATCAGAGGGAGGGGGAACCATGTAGAGCCCACTTTTCCATGCTGGGAGCAGAGGTGTCCAGGAGGTTCTTCCAGCTGGGCTCAGGCTGTCACTCTGTGAATGGTGACTCTGCCTTCCCTCAAGGAGATACCATGATTGGGTAAGGCTGAAACAATCGGTACACACCTAGGATAAAACGTCAGAGGTAGAACATTTGGAGCCATGGCAATGTGGGAGCTGCAGGTCACTGGACATGTGATGGGACCCAACTGTCCTGGACCTATTGTCCCTGATCTTTCCCTTACCACCCTGCTTGGTCTAAAGCCGAGAAGGGGAAGTGACACCTAAGGTTTGATGTCTTTTTCTGGCCCCTGTCACTGGCTCATCCTCATTCCCTCCCCTTCTTGGGAACAATGCCAGGTGGGAAAAGGCTGAGTAGAGCCATGATTGGAGCCAAGGTCCAGGTGAAGAACATGACTGGAACCCTGGATGAATCTGAGGTCGCAGTCAGAGTTCAGTGTCTGACTGCAGTTGGGTCTTAAGCTATAACTGGCATTAAACTTGGTCTATAACTTGGATCTGGACTCAATCGGGAGCAGATTCAGAGCATGGTCTGGTTGTGTGATCCAGACACAGAGATCAGGGTGTAAGCAGAATCGGGGCTCGACCTGCAGCCAAGGCCCTGGCTCAGTCTGCTGCTGGAAAAAGAGAGGAAGCCCATCCCCCTCCCACTCCCTACAGGTCCCTTGCACTGTCTCAGAGCCTGTCACTCACCAACAGGCGGCATCACAGTGGTCTGTCCCCCTTATCCATCCTATGCAAGTGGAGATGGCAGATTAAGTGGCTGTTGAAGTAGAGCTGAAGGAACAGAATTCACGATCAGGCGTTAGTCTCTACCACTGGAAAACTGAAAAGAAACCAACCCCAAGAGTCACCTTCCCACAATGGGTCAGTCTGGCAGCCATAGAACCTCAGACGTGCCATACCATGTCTCTGAGCCTCAGCTGTTCATCTGTAAAACTGGTACAAGGATAGTACCCTCTCCACAGGGCTGCTCGGAGAAAGTGTATTCAGAGTAGAGTAAAGCCTTAGGGTCTGGACTCGTGGCCTTTTTGTCGAAGAGGAGCCTGAAGGGGCCTATTTCTATTGCCACAGCAGCCCCAGCCTGGTGACATGAAAGCTATGGAAAGTCCCCAGCTACCAGATAAAAGCCCGCAGCCACCACCTTGCTCAGCAAGGTGGGTCCTTGTGCTTCCCCAGGTCTCCCAAATACACCAGCAGGGGTGAGCCCACAGCTGTCCATGGAAAGTACCCATTTCCCTTGTGACTTACAGGTGACATCCGAAAGAGACTGTACTTCTAGGCCATTCAGTATGAGTCGGATCAGTGGGCATATCTGAGAGCCAGAGAGAGGGGAGGGAGAAGAGGTCAGGACACTAAGGGCAGGTGCTTCTCAGCTGGGGACACAGTGCACCAGCTTCAGACAAGCTCCCTTACAGGCTCCTAAGAACCTTTGCACCTTCAGATTCTAGCGTAATGGACTCCTACCAGTCTGAAATCCGAGATCCTTAGAACCTGACATCAGAAATCTACAAACTCTGGAATCTGCTGTTAGCATCCCTAGTGTCTTGGAAATAAATGTGGGAGCCTTAGAGCTTTAAAATATCTCGTGTTGCCCTCAGCACCATCAAGCAACTGTCTCAGGTCCCAGGGGCACACAGTCCCTGCTGGATCCTGGTCATCAGGGCTGGGATGGGCCCAGGACTCCGCATTTCTACAGAGCGCCCAGAGGGCCTGGAAGCCGGCCTGGGGACTACACAGGGAACACAGGGGCTTGAATCAGTCACAGAACCGCCAAGAGGATTGTTCACTGATACACCCAGACTCTACACAGATGGACTCAGTCAGAATCTATGGGTCTTTGGTCCCCAGAATCTAAACACAAGTGCCTATGGTTTTGGATGAGGCAGAGATGGAGAAGAGAAATTTCCTGTTTTATAGTCATGGGTTTCTTTCTTCTCTTAATTACATAATGTGATAAGTTATATTAGTTTTCCATTTATAATAGTGACATATTGTTTATTTGCTTATAAATGAATGCATTATAAATAAAAGTTACATTTGCATACTTAAATGCTTTGGGGTAAAAATTATGTTGATTAGAAGAAAACATGAGCTCAAAAGCCATAGTGGCAGAGCATGGACATGGCAAAGGCCTCCAATGCGGGCCCTCGTGGTTTTGAAGACTGTCGACTCCTCCGACCCTCCAGGCTGAGCTGTGGGGTAAGAGGAGCGGCCCTTTGGCCTCAGAAAGGAAATTGGCACCCATGAAGAAAAGCTGCCAAGAGAATTCAGGCAGGCCTGCAGATCTCACCACAGCTGCCCACCAGCCTGACTCCGGGCCCAAGGAGTGGGGGACTCACTTGGTTCTGTATCAGGAAGGACACAACTCTACTCAGGGTGCTGGCCACAGAGTCCACAACCGTATTGAGCAAGCCGATATCCCTGGAAAATATACGGAGATCTGAAACCCCTTCATGCAGTGGGCTACCCAGGGACAATACTGGATGACAGGCGACACAGAACAGAGTGGACTTTCTCACTTCAGAGCCACATCCCGATGGACCACCACTTACCATTCTGCAACTGACCAGTGGCTCATGCAGTACCCAGGACAGTCTGTCCCACTCCTGAGATTTTATTTGTTCATTCAATCTCTCAAGCCAAATTCCAGAGCACCAACTGCATGCCAGGCCCCCAGCTGGGCTCTGGGGACAGTGGGATGAACAAAGGACAGGAAGCCTCAAACTTTGTCCCTCACAATTAGACAAATTGTATCAAAGCTGCCTCCTTCCACCTCCCTCACGGTATGACTGTCACCTCCTGGGGCAGAGCCTTGATGGACTCTTTCAGAGAGAGTTTGATCATCAGAGTGTCCTGTTCAGTGTCATGCACTGCACACAATTCACCTCTGTCTTGAGAGTCATCAGTTGATGAACTGATTGCTCCTCTGCCTGCTTGTCCCTTGGGAGAAACTCCACAAGGACAGGACCTTGTCTGTCCTCACCAGTCGGTGCTGCAGAGCATAGAGTAGTGTTTTTCTGGTACATAGCAGAAGCTCAATACATATGTTGACTAAAAGAATGAACCAAATAAATGTACAATTAAACATATAATAACAATCTTTGACAAGCACTCTCGTCAAAGGAGAAGAATGGACTTTGCCATCATTATTGTGCCCAATTCACAGATATTAAAAATGAGGACAGGCAGACTAAGGTGTCTGTAAATTCACAAGTTAGTGGCAAAGGTGACATGTGAACCAAGGCCAGTCTGACTCCAGAGCCTGAACTATCACACCACACTATCCTAGCTCTTGGGGATTGGAATGGGGCAGAAATTAGGGATCCTAACGCCTCTGAGATGTCACATGTCCTGAGATGGACAGGCCATACCTGTCTAGGAGGGACAGCGAGATGCTAGCTGGGTCAATGGCACATTCTCCCACAGCCACGGTGGGGAGGGCGTTCTGGGCACTGGTTTCAAGCTTGATTCCAGTCAGCAGGTCCAAGGACACACCCAGGTTGATCAGCTGCCCGATTAAAGGCCTGCAGGAAACAAGATTCATAGTGACCCAGGGCAAGATGCTCACTGGGTTCCTCTTTGTGGACATTGTGCCCACGGCAAGGTTGCCGTTGCTGGTGAATGAGAACATAGTCTATATTCATTTTGAGACTTACATGTTTCTGTTAGGGCTTTTTATCTGGACTACCTGGATTTAGTTCATAGGAAACATTTATTCAACATTACACTGATAATTAAAGTAACTGTCAACATTTCCAGCATAAAGTATTTAGCTGATTAGGTCCCTTTAGCCATTACTATAATGCTATGAGGCAAATCAGACTCTTGTTCTGAATGAGGAGATGTAAGTAAAAAGAAGTTAAGTAACTATCCCAGGATCTCACAGCTCATGACATTGTTTGAGCACTACATTCAAGGGTAATCTTTCTTACTTTGTTTTATATTTTTGTGGCTTTGAAGATGGAGCCCAGGTGCTTAGGCGAGCTAGGCAAGCACCGTACCACTGAGCTGCATCCACAGCCTCCAGGATTCTTTCACATGTGTTCTCTCCTGTCACTTTCCTGTCTAAACATATAAATTTAAAATACTTCCGTGCTATAGTCAATGTATGTGCCCTCTAGTCTCTGATTCTCACTACTGTATGCATTCGTCATTGGCACTGCTAGTTAGAGAGAATCTTGAAAGACAGAAAAATGAAGAAATGTTGCCAAAGAATTATGAATGTCCATGTCTTCTCAATTTTTCATATTCAATAATTAGATAAAATTTCAAAATCTAGTTATAATAATAATTATAATTTCAAAAATAAACTGAATGTAGTAATCCTTTAAAAGAGACTGGGTTATGGCCAAAGTTCACCAGAACATTCTAAAGACTGGGATTCTAGAGCTAGAAAAGTTCCCTCGTGTGCATATTGGATACTGAGGTCCAAGGCCACACAGCAGCCTGGGAAGGTCCGGTTTTGGAGGTTAGGGGAGCAGCCCCCATGTGTATCACCCCTGTCATGTCTGATTCTATACATACTCACAGTTCCACAGAGACATTAGCGGTGATCGGGAACCTCAGGGTGCCGCCAATGCCATCTGTTCCTAGTTCGAGTTTGGGATCCAAAATGAGAGACTTGCTAATTTTCACCCTGCTCAAAATCCAAACATTCCACTTATTATTCCCCAAGCAGCCCTCAGCCGAGCCCTTCTCTATGCCAGAGTCATGCTGCACTTCGGGCCCCACCAGCCTTGCCCTCCTTGTCTCCCTTGGCCCAGTTCAGAACTGTGATGCTCTGCATTTCAGGACCTAGCAGAATGAGGGTCCAACACATGGTATGATTCCCATGGAGTACAGAAAACACCAGAGCCCCAGTTTCAACCCAGACCCCACTCCAAAAGTTTGTGGGTCAAGCAAGCACCTGGAGCTAAGTGGCATGAATTTTCCTGCCCTGGATGGGGATTTAACCTGTTATTCCCAGCTACAGTTGGAGAAGACAATTTTATTCTTTTTTATTTCTTTTTTATTCTTCTCCTGAGCAAAGAGTTATAGGTGGAATGAATAGAACTTTCACTTTCATCCTAAAATCACAGAACGTTAGACCCCAAATCCCAGACTGATCCCCAGACTGGCCCTGGAGCCCTGTCTGTAATTTATCCAAGCTCTGGTGAGCCTGACCTCAGACCACTTCTGCTCTGCAGATGGTAACAAGGCTAGTCCATCTCTCTTTGTTCTTCAAGTAACCTCTTTCTTTCTAAGCATCCCCTTTTCTTAGAGCAAAGATCACCATGAAGAAGCACAAACGTACCCCAACAGACCATCCTGAGTCTGAAGTTTAGAAAGGACGTTGTCCAGCAAGTGTTCTCCAGCTCCCAGGATCTTCGTCTGGGCCTGTTGAAAAGCACTGGAATCCTGAAGCGCCCCCACGTCTACCTTCAGTTTCTGAAGGACACCTGCCAAAAACAATTCCCATGTACTGTGTGCAGCACTTAGGCAAGAGTTTAAGCTCCATGGACCAGATGAAATGGTTTGTATAAGTTACTCCATTCAATCCCTAACAGCTTGCTGGGACAGGTATTGTTATTACCTTTATTTTACACTGATGAAATAAAGTTTCAAAAAGTTAAGGAATGTATATAATCATCAAGATAGGGAAAATATCTTCTTCCTTCCAAAACTCATAAGAGACTAAAACTCATAGAGTGTAAAACTCTAAACTCACTGAGACTAAAAACTTATCAACAAGACAATAAATCAATTAGCCCAGGTGGTGTTTTGCAGGGGTTTTTTTGGTTCTTTTTTTGTTTTGTTTTGTTTTTTTTCTGTCTTTTTGAGACAGGGTCTCACTATGCAGTTCAGGCTGGCCTTGAGCTCACTTTGTAGCCCAGGCTGGTCTCAAACTCACAATGATCCTCCAGCCTCAGCCTCCCGAGTGCTGGGATTACAGGTGTGTGCCACCACCCCTGGCTAGCCCAGTTTTTAATAGCAATTACCTACTCTGGTTCCTAGGGACCCTTGCAGTCTAGTGCTCTAAACGAGAAGCTCACTTGAGTTTATAAAACTAGGTCAAACAAATTGAGAAAATAAACTTAAAAACTAGAAATCTAGAATCAAGGAAAAAAATGACTCTAATTCATGAAAGTGGTGAACAGGAGTGACAGCTGTGCGCAGGCCCAGAGAACCGCAATGTATGCCTTAGCAGGGAACAGTGTTGTAATGAGAGGCCTCTGGAGAAGAGTGGGGTGAGAGAGAAGAAATGACATTGCAAATGTGGGATGGTCACAGGAACAGCAAGGGATATGTGTGCAGGAAATAATTCAAGCGAGAAACCACAAAACAATGACTAACTCAAAGAAAAGCAGAAAACTGTATAAGAAATGAGATGAAATTTTAGTAATGCAACTTGTCCGTGCAATGGACAATGTATGCCTAGGTGTAATGATGCAGGGAGCAACAGTTGAAACAAAGCTAATAATATAACTACATCTGGTCGCAGACATCACTAGCTGGCCTTGATCCTGACATTTTCTTCTCTAGCTTTCATTTTCCCAGCTGTGAAAGACTGGGTCCTTTATGCATCTTGGCAAGCTTCCTAAGATTACACAAAGTTTAAAGTCCCCTTTGTAGACTGACCTCCTGCTATGAAAACTGCTTGTCAGTGTGCTGTGCTTCCAGATAAAGACAAGAAAGCCATATTTTTTAAAGAGTCAGCATAAAATAGAGGTATACATAGGTATAGAGAAAGTTAAGTTTATAGATACATAGAGTAGTTATGGGCTTACTTCTTTAATTCCCAGTGAGGTAACACAAATCAGGAAGAGAAAATTTAACAACCCAGCAGAAAATTCTGCTAAGAATATGAACAAAATACTGAGGGTAAAGTATATAAACGGACATAGATTTCATATAATTAAAGAAATGAAGAATGAAAGAAATTATTGTCTTTGATCCATGAGACTGGGAAAGCATTGAATATTATCCAGACTTAGTGCTGGGGATGGAGAGAGGGGAAGGCTGCTCTCCTAGGCTGTCGGGAGGAGAGTGTCAGCCAGGGGAACTTGTGGACAATCCCACCCTGTCAGATGTATACCTCTTGAGCTTTGGAAATACCAATTTTTAGAAATCTATCCTATACATTTATTGGCAACAGCTTATCAGGATGTGTCAAAGGATATTTACTATAGCATTGTTTGTTTCAAGAAAAATAAGAAAAAGAGCCAGGAATTGGAGCACCCCCTTTCTCATGAGCCACTCATGAAGGGCAGCCCCTGGAGGAAGCCATGTCGTGGCAGGCGCAGGATTGGGAGGTAACTTCCGAGTGCCCCCCGATATTCCCACCACTGACTCACCATCAACTGTATTTTCAGCATCCCCAAGAAGCCCATTCTGGAGGAGAGGGCTTGCCTGTCCCACCACATTGCTCAGGCCACTGCTAAGATCAGGAAGAAGAGCCGCTGAGGTGCCCTTGAGCAGGCCGCACAGGAAAAGAACCTCCCAGAGCTGAAACATCTTTTGTCCTGATGCCTGGGCAGCTGTGGAGAGAACAAGAGTGAGGATGCCCAGAGGGAAGAGGAGTCTCCCCTGCCCACCCGTCGCTCTTCCTCTTAGCCTTCCCCTAACCATCCTCGGAGAGCACATTGCCCAGATGGTGGATGTAGGGGCTGGGACAGAAAAGTCAGCCTCGCCCCAGTCCACACTCTTCACCCAAAGGTGCTTCATGCACACTGCCTGCTCTGCTCAAGCTTCCTTACCTCAACCAGTGCCTCCTAATTCTCCTGCTTCTGCAGGACATCACCTCCTCTGAGAGCCTTCCCTAGCATCTAATTTAGGGACCCCACACCCACTGGCAGCCTCTGTTTTATGATTAGGGTCCTGGGTGCCAATTACTTTTCTGCCTTCCTTTTGAGATATGAGCTCCTTAGGGAAAGGACTGTGACTTATTTCACTGTTGAATGTCTGACTGTAATAAAAATCTCCACCTCTCAATAAAAAGCCTCAATCAAAAGACCCCAATAGAATAAAATAAAGTATGAACAAATCCACGCATACCTTCTCATGACCTGGCTTTGGGTATTACTTTGATAGCTCTCGTAATATAATCTACGTATGTCTAAATCGGTCATACATTGCTAACCCAAGCAACCACACCCTCTGCTCTCACCCACAGTGCCTTCCACAGCTCCCAGAGGGGAAGCCCAGCACTCACAGGTCTGGTGGGAGATCTTCACGAACACCTTGCTTCCTAACGATTCTGCAGGTGGTGGTGGTGGCTCTTATATATGTTGGTGAAGGGATGAGTGGTAAGCCCGCTTCCAGGACCATCCAAAGAGACTCCAAAGAAAATAACCTAGGATGAGCCAAGGGACTTCCAACTCAAAGGTCACCCAGGATGCTTGAGTTGCAACAGTTGACATGTCAGGACTTTCTGCCAAGGCTGAGACCAGGGCCCCAACGAGCAGTCAGTCAGGTGAGGCTCGGGGAGAAGCTTGGGAATGGGTGGATCAGACGGTGTTCTGGAGGGGGGACTCAGTGATCATCCAGTCTAACTCTGCCACCGTTTGGAACAAAGCTCAGAAAGGAGAAGCCACCAGCCTGAGGTCATCCACCAAGACAGGGATAGAATTATGGCTCCAAGAAAGTCAGCCTCCATGACCTGAGAGGTCACTTGGCTCCATGGTCCCCTGGTGTGCGGCACCCTCTACATCTCAGAAAGAGAGCCGGCCTCAGAGTGAATGTTTACAGTGGTGAGGTGCTCACTGCTCCCCAAGTCTGCTTGTTCCAGCTGGCTGGCAGATAGTTCTTGCAGGGAGAGTGAACAAAATCTGCTCCCCTGTTCCCCAAGTACGGCCAAGTGAAGCTCAGGGAGGCTGAGCGCCTTGCCTGAGGGGACAGGGAAATCGCAGGAGATGCACACCACTGCCTTATCCAGGCCTCACTCCACGCCCTCGCCCCCAAGGTACCCTCAGCACAGCCAGCGGAGGGGCTCTGAGGGCCTGCGGCATCTGTTCACTGCCTCTCCGAACTCCTGTCCCACCTCCCTCGAGCCCTGGTCCCCTGTTGGCCTTTTTCCCACTTCAGAAAGATGCCAGTCTCTCTCTCCCGGGACCCTTTGAGTGGCGGCTCTCTCTGCCTGTAACTCTCCTCCGCAGTGTGTCTGGCTCTCATGCCCTCCCTTCCTGCCACCTGAAGTGGCCTCCCCAGCGTCCCTGACATCGCCACCTGACTGGCTTCTTTCACAGCTGCACTGCTGCTGGACTTCTTGTTTCTGCCCTCAGCAGGTGTCAGGCCCATGCCCTGGGGCTCTCCTTCCTCGAGGGCCCTGAGATGCTGGCCTGTCCCTACAGTGTCCACGGACTCTCTCTGGGGCATCCTACTGAGGAAAGGAGGTGAGACTCATCCCCAGTTTTTCAGAACCTGGCCCAGATGACATCAGGCTCCCCTCCCCCGGCACGTGGTGGGCCTGGAAGCTGTGATTCCGTAGCTCTGAGCGCTGGAGTTCCTGGCTGTGCTTTTCTATGGCTCTGTCCTCACATTTCCTTTCTCCTTCCCCTCAATGCTCTATCTCTTCCTTTGCTCAATTCTCTACCTCCCAGCAAAGGGCAGAGATGGAATGAGAATGGCCATTCTGGGGCACAGCCTCGTTGGGAAAGCAGCGGGTCTCGTGCCTCTGCCCCCAGGGCCCCGCACTCAGTGGGTGCTGGTGGGTCTGACACTGGCCCTGGGGCTTTGGGTACACTTTTTCTCGCTAGCCCTCAAGGGGACTCTAAGAAGCAGATTTGGGATGGGGCTGGGGATTTAGCTCAGCGGCAAAAGCGCCTGCCTGGCAAGCGCAAGGTCGTGAGTTCCGTTCCCGGTACCGGAGAAAAACCAAAAAAAAAAAAAAAACAAATAAGAAGCAGATTTGGGGAACATCATTTTCCAGTTGAGGAAACAGGTTCAGAGAAGGAGGTGGGTTGCTAGGGTCTCAAAGGACAGAAACTGAGCATTTGTGGCTTCCAAAAAGGCCCCTCCACCCGCATCAGGCTGGGGCCAGCTGGCAGGAGTGGGATGTCCTGTTTTTTCTAAGACCGCTGTTGTTTGAGTTGGTTGTCATGCCTGGTACATTTGGCCTCTGCCAACCCGGAACAGCAAGACACTCGTAGATGCCTGCTGGGGAGGGCAGCACGTGCTCAGGGGCCTCTGGGTCTGTGCCGCCTCTGCTTGCTCCCTGCAACCCACCGAGGACCTGTGGGCCTGACCTTGGTATGAGCTTGGCAGGGCTAAGGATGGCAGGGTGGCTGAGGTTCTGGGAGCAAGCTGCTCCTCAGAGTGACTAAGGCTCCACCACACAAGCACAGAATAGGTGGCTGGTGACAGCCAGGTCCCAGAGCTTCACCTGTCAGAGTCCTCCTGTGGCCTTACTGTGCCTTGGCCTGGTCCTCAGGCCCTCTCCCCTGGCTGCCTGGCCCCGGTACAGCAAACACATAAACCCCTCTCCCCCAGCTGTGGGGTACAGAGCCAAAGGCTGTGCCCAAATCTTGTGCAGAGGGTTTTTGTTTTGTTTGTTTTTTAGGACTACAGATTGAGCCCAGGGCCTTCTCACTGAGCTACAGCTCTAGCCCTTTTTTATCTTTTTATTTTGAAACAGGTATCACTAAGTTGCTAAGTTGCCCAGGCTGGGTTTGAAATTTTTAGTCTCCTGCCTCAGCCTCCCAGAGTGCTGGGATTACAGGCATGTACCACCAGCCTGACACAAGTGTATTTTTATGGTCCTCCTAGCTGCCGGCTGTGAAAAACACAGCCCTGTGGCCTAAACTGGGTGTGGTGACATCAGCCCTGGCACTGACTCCAGGCTCAGTTGTCTTATCTGTAAAATGGGATCTGTCCTGGATTTCAGTGGCATCATGGTGAGCTGAGAGCCTGGGAAATCAAAGGGGGACAGGGGGCACTGAGAGATCCTGGCCCTAGGGCTTGGAAGGTCTGTACGCAAATCCTCACTGTGGTGACTGCAGGCTGACCTGGGCTCCTCTCCACAAAGTGCATTAATGGCTGTCCTGGCCTCCTGCGTCTGCGTGCAGTACAGATAAAGTGGAGAATACACATGAGAAGCTCAGCACGAGGCAGCCTCCATGCCCCGGCACAGCAGGGAGGACAAGCAGTCGGTTACATTGCATAACACACATGAAGGGTTCTTGATGGTGAGTAGAGAGGTTGGTTCCGTCAGAGGCCATCTGAGGTCTGGGCCAGCTGCTCTGAGTCATCTCGGAAAGAGGAGCGGTGATAGCTCTGTGGTCCTCCTCCCTTTCAGCTGCTCCTCCTCTTCCTCCACACATACAGGATGTCACCTTGCATGGAAGGTGCTTGTTTCTCAGGGACAGAAGCCCTAGACATTAGGGATCAGGGATGAGCTAAAAATTAGTGAAAGTCTCCAGTGAGGTGTTAAGGATTATCCTTAACTGGGGAGCAGTCTATCCCCCAACATCACTGTGAATTCCCAGCCACAGCAGCTTCCTGGTCCCATGCACCCAGCTTTTAAGGAAACAGCTGATGTCTTTCCCTACACAGAGCTCGGCTCTCCGGCTGGAAACAGACAAGGAAGGCACCCAAGCTCCTGAGACCAGAGAGGGCACACCATGCGGCTGGGGTCTCACAGGGTCTAAGGCTGGGTTGGGATAAGGTATGAATAATTTACCCACTTTATAATAGGTCCTAGTCTCTCACACTTGAACCACCTACTTCTTATATGCAAGAACTCCTTGCATATAAGAAAGGTGAAAGTAACAGAATGTGTTCAAATATCTTGTCACATCCAGAACCACTACATAGAACAATTGACAAAATTGTCACAATGTTAGAGCCTAAAAACCTCTAATTAAACTTTCAGTAGTTTTGACGTTGCTGTCTTTTTTTCTTATTTTAGAGTGACATGATCTACTTTTTCAGCCTTCAAACATGTCCTAAAGCCCTGTGCTGTCTGGATCCCTGTTGGGGTGTACAGCTCCTCCTCGAAAACGGACTGCCATGGACTGAGTGGTAGACAGAAGGTTTCACGCCACCCAGGGAAAGCTCCCTGATCATTTGGCCTGGACCTTCCAGAGAAAGTTAAAGCACAGGTGGAAAGCATTTTCAGTGGGCCTGGCTCCTCCCTGAGCCTGTGATATGGGGATAATTTGTGTGTTTTCACTTTGGGACCCCTCATGCTGGCCCAGGGTCTGGCCCACAGTGGGAAGGCAATGTTTACGGGAGGAAAAAAATGGAGAAAGGAAAGAGAGAAGGGGGAAGACTTAAAGAAAAAAGGACAGAGAGAGAGAGAGGAGAAAGAGAGAAGGAAAAGGAGGGTGTGTGGGAGGCAAGAAGGATAGAGAGTAGGAAGAAAAGGAGGGATGGGGAGCTGGTGAAAGAAAAAGCGAGGCTGGAGGGAGAGAAAAGGGAGAAGGCCATCAGTGTCCCAACAGTGCAGCCCTGAGGGCTGGACCACACCTCTGGGCCCCCACTGCCCAGTGCAGAGCCCGCTCAGCTCACCAACCAGC